CAATGACGGACGTTTGCCCTATGTTAGGCTGGACACGTCACAGCCCCAAAAATCTTTCTGGCCACGACAAAACTCATCAAGTAAAAACACAGATCGAAGCCACAGGTTTAAATCACCACACTCTAAGTGTTTGAGTTTGCCCAGTTGTTTCTTCCTCTTCGCTGAGATAAACTCAGGGTCAAAGATAATGCTCCATCGGGTTTTCTGCAAGGCTTTGACAAGCTGCTCTCCCTGCCATGGTTTGGTCAAACCATCGGCCAGTTCCTGATCACCACTAACCCAACGACAGCGAATGTTGGCCTGAGCCAAACGTTCCTTGATGCCCAGCAACTCAATGGCTGTACGCCGCTCTTCCATTTGGAGGCCTGAGGTCTCCACTTTCTCCAAGCCGTCGTACACATTCTTTGAGTCGCTGATTAAACAAGATTCTTGGCTCCTCAAGACATTATCTGGCTGACGAAGATCAATCTTATTGGGTTCTTCCATGATAATCATGAACAGTTTACAAAACTCATGTTGATCCAGAGCATTACCTGACATTTGGACCTCAGCGGAAGTAGATGACCGTGCAACCCGCCGCAGACGGCGGCTACCCCAACACAACACAGAAAAATGGCTAGTTTCCCCATGCATGACACTCTTACTCATTAGCAAAGTGATCTGTCCTCCTTGAGAGCTCCCATCACGTCGAGTGGCCCATGAAGCATCCGTGAAAGTTACAACCATGGTATCTTGGGGATTATGCACAAAAGTCAAACCATGAGTTGCATATCTCCGTTGCCATCGCACCAACTTATTGACTTCAAGAAGGTCACTGACAGTAGCCGTTTCCACACATCCTTGCAGATGAGACACCGTTGCTAAGAGCCAAGGAGCGGATTGAACTGCTCTCCAGTTCTGTGCACCCAAAATTCTCCGCATGTTCTGTTTCTCTTGAGGGCTAGCATCATCCTGTTTCTGTCCTTTTCTGAGAGAATCCAAAGGAATTTCATCAATACCCAACGCAAAACGCTCTTGAGTCACCACAACATCACAATTAGCCAATTGTTTCAAATCACAATCACAAAACTTAACCGTTTCCTCCTGAGCACATTTCCAACTACCAAAAGGTAAACTCTTCAACAGTTTTTGAACACAGTCATCAAAATAAACACCATGACCCGTACAAACAACATCATCCACATGCACTCCTAAACAACCGCAAACCACTTGATTTTGGGGATCAACAAGTTTAAACACACACTGATCCAGTTGATGGGCCACCCAACCATGTTCCAACAAAACAGATCTCAACTTTTCAAACCATTTCTTGGGAGCATGTAATAATCCATACACCGCTTTAGCCGCCCTGAGGATTTCATGGGGACGCATGTCCAGTTTCTGTCTGACAGACATCTTCTGGGGGTTCCGCATAAATCCTACGTTCCAACTCCGTAGCATCTCCGTTTAAATAGGCCGTTTTAATATCCCCCAAAAACACTTTGAACCGCTTCCTCGCAGCAAGAGACAAAATGGCATTCCTCCCCAAAGTGGACATAGTGAGTGCTTGACGATCAACAGTCAACAAATCAGGATCCTGAAGCCCCTTTAGGATCAACCGGGCCTTGGCCTTTCGGCCAATGGGTTTTCCTTCGGGGTCTTCCACTTGCTTCCAAGTGTAAATCCATCTCATTCCCAAAACTCTTTCCCGGGGGATCCCAGCCGCCTCGCAGACCCTGACAGCATCATTCGACATGAATGAGTCTAATTCCTTTTTCATGGCTTGTTCAAACTGTTGTTGATCGCTTTCATTCAACTTGCGGATATTGACTTCAGCAGACTTTTTCACTCTCTGATTCAACATCCAAACTCCCCGTTTACAGTGGACATCCCTGGCTGCCACAGCCACATGAATTTCACATACCTCTCGCTGCCCTACGACACTGGCAAAGAAAGTTTCACTCGCTTTTTTGCTGACCTTCGGATTCCTCAGCAATGGTCGTCAGGGCGTTCCCAGATGACTTTGTGTCACCATGCCGCCTTATACCAAAACGCGCGCCGGCCGGGCTGCGACTTCTGCCACTACGTCCATGTTCCATAGGGCTGTTCAAGGGTTCATCAACTTGGCTGAGATCTGTCCCAGAATCTGCTCGATGTTGTTGAGCCGAGTCTGGAGAGCTCCCTGGGTTTCCTGCAGCTGGCGAATCTCTTTGTCCTTGGACATCGCTTCGGACCACCCTCGCTCTCCACTTCGGAGTCTTCCACTGTGAGGTTCACCTCTTCGGGGAGCCGCTTCTTCATCTCGGATTTCTTGAGCGCTGGCATTGCGTTTGATGCCTCTCCCTTGTAGCCGGCCTCCACTTGATGAACTTCGGAGGTGGTCTTCCGGAAGAGGTAGATCAGGAAGCACTTCATCCCCTCGCAGCTCGTGTCGGGATTCACGTGACTTGCCACCCACTGGACGTAGGACTTGTCCTGGGCTGCCTCCTGGAAGGTGTGACCTTTGTACTTTCCGAAGTCGATCTTCATCTGGTGGAGATCCACCATCTGCATGGTGCGGACTTGTTCGGTCCGCTTGGGCTTCTCTATCTCGGAAAGCTTCTCGAGGTTGTTCTTGAGGCCCTTGGTCATCTCCTCGAGGGTCGCCATCTGGAGTGAGATCAGATGCGGGAGTTGCGTCTGGTTGAAATTTTCGTTTTCCTTGAACCCTGTGTCGCGCTATGTTTTCATCCAAAGATTCATGGTCAACTGTGTGTCCATCCAATTCTTTTGCAAGATCAAAGTATTTCCGCTGGCTTCCTACGTCCTTCAGCATAGTATGGAAATCAGCAGGGCCATTGATCTCCCTATCAATGTTACTGACATCCCTAGTGACCACTCTCAGGAGAACATCGCAGCAAAACGCCCGCATGACTGATCCAAACAATTGATCCCGGATGGTTTCCGAGGGTTGAATCTCCAGTTTTCTCATGACACAACACTCGAGCAGGACCAAACCACCTACCTCTTTCCTACTCCTACGGTAGTAGTACGCTAGAGTGCCAGTCTCAAACACACGCAGTGGACGACCCTGAGCCCTCAACGCCCGATAGATGCGCCGACGAGAGTCAGCTTCCAAAAACAAACGTTTGGCAGCCGTTTCACGTTTGACCACCTCAGCAAAATCTACATCATCCCAATGACTATTCCATGGCAAATGATCTCCATTTTCCAGAAAAGATCCAATTCTTTGGTGGTTACTTCCCAGGGCCCATTGATTTGGGGAATGCCCGCGGATTTGGTGAGTGGCATTTTTCGCAGAGACCGCCAACGCAAAAAGTTCACACGCCGGAGTATGATGTCCCAGTTCATGGGTCAACAAACTGACGTTTTCCTTTAGAACCTGCAAGTGACGACTGTGCTTACCAAGTTGCCATCCACTTTCCCCAGCAATTGGATCCAACTGAATGCCCTGGCCCTCAAGCCAGTGAATCAGATCCAAGTTTCGAAGGAAACCTTCTTCGTCATACCGCAACTGCTTTGGCGTGGGAAAGATTTTTAACCAGCCCTCACAAAAGGCCTTCTTAAATTCTTGGCCCTAATGTTGTGTTGCATGTGATCCCCAGTTCTAATGATAACACAGGTGTGATAATCAGTAGCCTCATCGAGGATAGAAAGGCCCACAACATGTTCCGACTTCTCCCCAGTAGCCAACAGAGTAAGAGGGGTTTTCCACCAAAAAGTGTCAACACTTACACATTCCCACTTCTCCCGGACTGGAACTGCAATGGCAGGCTTGGTGATGGCTCTTCGGCCATGTTTCAAGCAATGTTCACATGTGAATTCTTTGACCATAGACATGACATTGGAAGAAGCCCCAGCATCACGGAACATACGTATCATGGTTTCCTTATTTGGGTGACCCAGGTTCCGGTGGATGAGAGCAATTTTTCGTTTCAACTCCCCTTGGTGGTCCTCCTCATCATCCCCCAACAAACCTTTTGGGGGTCCTAATTGAACTGGTTTCTCCCCCGCATGTCGCAACTCAAACCTGGTCTCCCCTTTCCACAACCGTTTCCCAAAAGGATTCCCTTGGGGGTTATTCCATTCATCTTCCCATTCCAAAACATCATCATCTTCGGTGGTTCCCCATGTAACTCTCTTGGCCCGCAAACATTTGAGAGAAACTGGACAATCTTCCTCCGTAGGAGCAAACAAGTCATACCGTCATACCTGGGTTGAACATGGTGTTTGATCAAAATCCCCATATGTTGAGTCCAGTAATCCTGTTCTGTTTCTTCGTCCATGTCCCTAGAGTCAATCTCCTGATTGTCTCCCTCTGTGGACGCGTAAATGCCTAAGAACATTTGACCACTAGTCTCAGGTTTGAGGATGGCCTTCGCAAAACGCCGACACAAAATCTGAGGATACGTTGCAGTCAACGGTGTGATGGCTCCTTCAATGGGCTGATGGACATGTTGTGCATGCTGACACTTACTTTCCAAGGCTTCCCGAACACACGGTTTACTTGTAAACCATCCCCAGGGTTTCCGCAAAAGCTTCTTGGTGGTTTTGTGGTACATCCCATGACAACACCCATAAACCGTGAATCTTCCCCCACAACGACGTGCCATGTGTTCCAATTGTGTGTGTTTCCAACTTTGAGCATTAAGGGGGTGTTCACCGCCACCGTGATGCAAGTCTTCATGCTTACCATGTGCCTGGCTTCCATGACCATTCAGCTCAAACAATTGTACTTCCAAGATACGACAGCATCGAGCTATCAGTTTCTTACTCTTGCCACGTGCTTGGAGGAATTCCTGGAGGACATGTCCCTGTTTGGGATTACAGTTTTGGAAGGGGCTCCACAAATGACAAGGGGGAGAAATGTGAACGTACTTTGGTTTCAAATGTCGCACAACAGCCAAAGCCCGTTTATACCCCTGAACAGTATTGAGGTCAAAACCATTGTGTAACCCAAGTGCAATTGCTGTCCCTCCAAGATCTCGCACGGCCTGACACAATGGGCTATCCCATGGAGCACAAACCTCGACTAAATCGACATGATTTTGGTTGAGGATCTCCTCGAAGTATCTGTCTCCCAATTCAATCTGCTCTGCCAGAACTTCGCTGAGCTCTTGCCGTTGCGTGTTGCTGAGTTCTTGCATGGTGTGGTGATTTAAACAAACGTCACAAGAAAAACCATGTTCAGAAACATCACAAAAACACTGACAGTCTGTCGTGGCTTGTCCTCCACCCAAGGCCCTCAGATCGCTGGACTGTACATGGATCTGTCCATTCCAGCCTTGGTGGAGCTGTCCCTATTCTTCTTGGGGGGCCCCCTTATCCAAAATGGTGGTGGTATCTTCGCCGGCTGGTGGCTCTGCACCCTGTACATTCGGATCGTCAGCGGGCTGGCTCAAGTGCTGCACGCTCAGATCGTCTTCGTCAGAATGCAGGAACAGGGTGTTGGTCACTTTGTCATTGCCAGCAAATGCGGTCAGAGGAACCATGAGATGGTGACTTGGTGTTCGCTCTAACTTGAACTGCCTGGATGACAATGTCTTGAAGACTGCAACCCCACTCCGAAAGTTGATTGTGGCATTCATGTCATACAGAAACTTGGAAGACAGGAGGAAAGGAGTACCACCTTCGACCAGGTGTGCCTGAATTGGCACCTGCTGACCACACATACCGGCATTGACATGGGAAAGTCCCAGGCCTGCCGAGGTGGCGTTGTTGCCGAAGACGAACTGCTTGTGAATCTCACGGTCAACCTTGATCTCCTGCTCTGCCGAAAACTCCAGCTCATTGAGGCAATCAGCCAGCTCCTGCAAAGTTTCGGCTCCCACAATGTTGTCCGAGGCACCAGAGTCAATGATGGCTCGGCCACGTGTATATGGACCAAGTGCGTAGACAGGATGCTGCTCCGTATCCATACTGGTAGACCAACAAGCTTCTGGCTCAGTTGTCACCAGGATGGCGGATGGGATGGTTTCATCAACCCTCTCGTAGCAGTCATCAAGATCTTCTTCCAAGCACCATGGATTCCCTGCATCTGGTGAGGACTGCCAGGTGTCCGCGGCCATGGCAAGTCCAACGAAGCCTATGGCACCATGGCCTGAAGGCTGGCCAGGCTTCTGAGGGCAGAACTGGGCAATGTGACCCTTTTTCCCACATCTCATACAGATCTTGTCCATGTGTGAAGGCAAAGGCTGCGAGGGTCGCTGCATCCAATTGCTCCCCTTGCCAAATCCCTTGCCATAGGGTTTGCCCTTCCCTTTGCCCTTTCCCGGCTGTCGAACAGGGTAAAAGCCACGGGCCGTCCGTGCTTGGTCTAACGCTTTCCGGGCTTCTCGGAAGTTGGCCAATACCGCACCATCCGTCGGTTCCTCCGCAAGGGCCAAAATGGCCTCATCATGCCATTCTTGGATTTCTTCCAACTCATCATCCACTTCATAGATCCCATTGGGCTCTTGCTGTTCTTCCACTGGCTCTTCATCATCTACTGCATAAGTATGTCCGGGCTGGTTCTTCTTCACCTTCACCTCCTGGTCCCGTGAAGCCAGGCCACCACTGCTCCACATGACCTTGATGGCAGCCATGACATCCTCCATTTGGTAGGACCCTGACTTTCCACGGATATTTGCCGTATCGGAAGGTGAAAGCTTCATGAACAAGTTCAGAAGAAACCAACCGTACATCTCACTTGGAATCTTTGCCTCGGTGTTGGCCTCCTTTACCGCACGGTCCATTCGCCGCACCAAAGTACGGAAGCGGACCTCATAGTCATTCCATTCTTCACCATCTTTCCGGTAAGCTTCACGTTTCAGGAAGAACTCACTAAACATATCGCCAAGCAAGTCAACCTTGGCTCGACCACGCTTGCCCTCTAAGAACTTCAACAGATAGGACCAACCATCTGCTTTCTTCAGGCTTTCCCGAGAAATCTCTCCCAAGGTGTCAAAGGCCTTGCCGACCAAGTTGGAGGCCAATCGGGGCCCTAAGAAGGGTAAGTCTTCTTCTTTGCTGGCATCAGCTCTCAACTCCACTCGGGTCTTGTAATCCTCATAGGTCAGCCAGTTTCCATCCCACCAAGGGTACTTGAAGTCAATCTGTTGCTCAGTCCCCGAAGGTGGCTGGGTCGTCATGGAGCCTGGAGCGCAACTGGCTCCGCTACCATAAAGATCCGCAGATCTAAATGGTAGCCAGTGGAACTCGCAAATGGATGCGCAAAGATTTGATTTGGTTCAATTTCCTTGATCCTCTGAAGTCTGGATGCAAGATCTTTCTCCACCGCAACTTTCTTCTCTCACAACTCACGAAAAGACCAAGCAGCTATTTTCCCCGTCGCTATGGCACGAGCGAATCTCGGATGAGCTACTGGTAGATACCACACAAAAGGGGGCCGTGCACTTGAGCCATCAAATATCAATAAAAGAGGAGATCGTCATGGTCAAGAGAGAGCTGGAATTCTCAGGACCCATCATCCTCACCTTCTTCGTCTTCATCCCCTACCACGTCCAGTTCGGATTCTGAGAGTTCCTTTACACGAAAGGTCAAGAGGGCCTTAGAGCGTTCTAGGACTACTGACAACAAGGCCAAAGAGTCTGATAGGATCCTAGTTCCTAAGTTCCCTCAACCCGAAAATTATAGGAATTGGAGAATTC